CCGTGGGCGTGACACAGGTGCGTGCCCACGTGTGTCACCCCGGTGCGCGCACACGATGCCGGTCTGGGAGCATCACCAATGCATGGCGCCCACCCGGGGCTGCCGCAGGCTGCTGTGCCCTTCCCGCCACAACACAGCACGTCGTACCGTGCCAAGCCGTGCTGCACCATGCCGAGCTGTGCCACGACGGTTGGACTTGATGATCTTAAAGGTCTTTTCCAACCTAAATGATTCTGTGATTCTATGACACTCTGTGCAGCCCCGCGGCCAGGCGGCAGCGCACATGTGGGCACACGGCACCCCCGTGACCGCCATCGTGCCAGGGGTCCCCACCTGCCCTTCCCCACGCCGGCCGTCTCCTCTCTAATCCCATCCTAAATGTGTCCCTGGCACGGGGACGGCCACCGTCGCAGTGTCCCCATCCCGCCGGGCTGAGCCGGAGCTGGGCCGCCCGCCAGCCCAGGGGCTCCGGGAGGTCTCCTGGGACAGGGGCAGTACAGGCAACGGACATCCCCCACATCCTCTTGCCACGACGGAGCCCGGCATCCAGGTCCAAGCGCTGCCATGCCAGACTGTGCCAGGCCCTGCTCTGCAGCACTGCCGAGTCCTGGGAGCAGCGCTGAGCGCTGGGTCGGGGCTGCTGGGGCAAAGCCCCCCATCTTGGCCCCCCTTCCATGGGGTAGGGGGGTCTTGCGGTCCCCCCCGTCGGCCCGGCCTGGCCCGGCCCCCTGAGCCTGGGAGACTATTAAGGACAGAGCTAAAGAAAGAGGAGTTAAAGTAAATAATTCTGCAGTTAAGCTGCTTTCCTGCATCTCATGGGCCCATGTGAGTCCTGTGGCTCCCGCAGGCTTAGACACTGCGGCTGGACGGTGCCGCCCCGTCCGCATCGTCCCCATCATCCCTGTCCCCGTCCCCCCTGTCCCCTCGTGTGTGTCTGGGACCCCCAGCCACTTGTGCCCCAGGCAAGGGGTGCAGGCAGTCGAGCACCCCCAAACAGCCCCACATCGCTGTGTGGTGCCACAGCCCATCGGAGCCACGGCATCACTCATGGCACACAGGTGCTTCCTGCGGCCCCACTGGGGAAGGGCCACGGGGCACCTGGCAGAGCTGGGGGCTGTTTTCTACCCCCTGCTTTTTGGGGTGCCATGCACCCCACAGTAGAGGGATGCCCCCAGTCACCTCCTCCATCTCTGCCCTTCCCACCGCAGGCCCTGCCAGATGAGCGGGGTCCAGGAGAGGGGACACCAGCCGCACCAAGGCAGTCAGTCACTCCCAGCCACAGGTCTGAGTGAGGCACAGCCATTTTGGCAGCAGTGCCTAGTGCAACCACCCTGGTGCTTCGTTCCCAAGGGAAGATGATGATGTTTTGGGCTTTCAGAACAACGTTTGGGGGCTGTGGAGCTGCCTGGCGGAGGCGATGGCCCCATCAGCCTGGGGCACAGACGCAGCACTCGTGCCCAGTGAGCGCCAAGCGCTCCCGGCCATGTGCCACATGTCCAGGAATGGGGACGGTGACACTTCTTGCACTTGGGATTTAAATGCCATCAAGGTTAGGACCAGCTGAGAAGAGATTTCCAGGATCGGACTTTTGGACAGAGATGCCTAAATTCCATCTAAGCTTCACTTTAAGCATCAACGTCCCGGGCCGGCCCCCGTGTGCTGACGTGGCTGCCCCCCTCCGCATGGTGTCACCGCTTTGGCGGGCGACCAGCTCCAGGGCCTGCCTGCCGGTGCCCGAAGCAGAGCCGCTCACGCTCCCCAAGGGCCGAGGCCAGGCAGAGACCCAAGAGCCAGGACCCCACAGCCTGGGGTGCTCCTGCTGACCAAGCTGGGCTGTGCAGTGGGGTCCCAGGGAGCCCGGCAGAGCCGCGAGCGCGTCTGCTGCCCACTGATTCCCCACACACAGACCTGGAGAGAAGCGACAGGAGAGTCCTTTAATGCAGGAGGAGACAGACAGCAGCACTTGGGGGGTGATCGTCCCCATTGAACCCATCCAGCACACGCTGCCCTGAGGAGTTGGTCTTGCTCATGCCTCTGCATTGTCCTCTTCAGCGCTGTGGTGGGGCAGATACCATTGGCAAACTGCCCTTTGGGACCTGTAGCTCCCCTCCTGCTTGCTGTGCCCGGCATGCCACAGGCCATGGCCCCAGCGTGGCACAGGGAACCCCCCCGAGGAAGTCGGTGACACAGAGACAGGACTCCCCACTGCGGGGCCGCACCTACCGAACACGCTGGCAGAACTGGATCACGG